GCACAGACCTTATGAGCAGGAACTGAGGGAACTGGGGTTATTTATTCTGGAGAAGAGGAGGCTCAGGGATGACCTTATCGCTTTCTACAACTACCTGAATGGAGGTTGTAGTAAGATGGAGGTCAATTTCTTCTCCAAAATAAGTACTGAAAATAGGACAAGAAGAAATAGCTTCAATTTTCGCCAAGGCAGGTTCACGTTAGAGATTAGGACCTGCAGCGCCCTCCCACTTTAATCCAGAGCATGGATCTTTCCTTAATCCGGCCTCATAGCCTGTTACATTATCAGATCTCCAGATGGTCTGGTCCACAAAGATTTGAAAATATCAAAGTTCAGCCCTGGCTTTCCTATTTTTGATAGGCAATCCTGTCAAAGAATCACCCTCAAGGCTGATGTGAGCAAGGCTTACGAAGGGTGGCATCCTCACAATCCTGGGCATAGAAAAGAAGCCCTGCCCTGTCCTTTTCCTCCCTCCCAGGAAGCCTGTCTCTGCTTTCTCTCAGCAGGATCTCTCCATTGTGCTGCTTGTCTCTTAATCCATCTGGCTCTATGGTTTCCCACTCAGTGCCCTCAAATAAGGGTACTGATGAGAAGTGCTGATACATTGTCTGCTGCTTGGGGCAGTCACCTGCCCCAGTAGCGAAACAGCTTCTCCCTACCCTGCTTCATTCTCATACCTCTATCTACACAGACATGAGCCCTCAGGCAGCCTCTGATCCTTTTATGTATTAATCTGAATCTGGTCTATAATGGGCAGAAGTTATAAGCTTTAAGTAGCAAGGGGCTGCAGTGGTGACCAATGTGGAAGGAGGCCATGAACTATCATGTACTATTTGAAGCCATGCCCATGAAATGAAATCATTTCATTTGCCTGATAATGATTTGAACAACCTTGATCAAACAGGACCACCTAGAGCACAGAGAAGCTTTCCAGCAGGTCAGGCCCCAGCCTGTGCTGGTGCATGAGGTTATTCCAACCACACTTCCCCTTGTTGACCTTCACGCAGTTCCTTTCTGCCTCTCTCTCTCCAGCCTGTCAAGGACTTTGTTACAGATCACCAAACAGGATTAGGAAGTAGACAAAGCCTTTTCCAAGGCAACCAAGGAACTCTCTACGTGACAGAGGCAGATTCTTTTGAGGAACTTTAATCTCCATGAAAGCTGCTCAAAAAAGCAACATGGTGAATGTAAGCAACCAAGAAGATTTTAGAAGGGTGCTGGGGATTACTTTGTGTTAGTAGGTAGCCAAGCAGGGATTACACACAGCTGGATCTGCGGTTCACTAGCAAAGTAATTGCTGGGGGATTTGATCATCAATTGTATCTTTGTGTATAAGGACCATGAAATAGTGGAGTTCAAGATCTTGAAGACAGTGAGGAAGGAGGGTGCATAGTACAGATGCTTGAATTCAATGAAGAGTTGATTCATAGGACCTGAGGGTCTGTATCTGATAGTGATGTGAAAATTGCCCAAAGCCCTTGTAGAGCTGCTATCTATCATCTTCAAAAAGTCATGAAGATCAGAGGAAGCATCCAAGGAGTGGAGGAAGGCACATATTGCATCCACCTTCAAAAAATGGCTAAATTCAACCAAAGTCAGCCTGACATTGGTCTGGGCTCAATTAGTCTTCTTGGATCCCATTTTTTGCGCAAATAGTAAAAGCATAGACTGGGACTTGTCAATACAGATATAGCTGGTGTTTAACCATGGTTCACCAAGCTGATAGTCTTCTGTGATGGCATTCTAGGATTTGCAGACAACATGAGAACAGTGGATTTCATTTGACTCAATTATAAGAGTGCTTTTAACATGATATTCTTTTAAACAGTTTGGGAGATTACAGTTTGCATGGTGACTACCAGATGGGTAAGAAATAGGTTGGAGATTCCCTTGGTTCCCAGGCTCTGATGGTAATATCTGAATATTCATACTCTAACTGGAAGCTAGTAACAAATGGTACCCTGAGAGAGAGTTCCTGGGACCTGTCCTATTTAATTTCTTTATCAAAGACCTAGAAGGGGCAACATGTTCATGTTTTTCAGTGTTTCAGGTGACATCAAATTTTTTGTACCAGTAGATCTACTTAGGGACAGGACTGCCATCGAAAGAGACACAGACAGGTTGAAGGAATGGTCCAGCAGCAAACTTATGAAATTGAACAAGAAACAGTGTGTGGTCCTTTACCTGTAAAAATATTGGTTCCTTCACCTATAAAAACATTGGTTGTGAGAGGGTGAAGTGGGAGTAGGGTCCCTCTGGGGAAGGATCTTGGTAAACAACAAGTTGAACATAAGGCATCTGTGTGCCCTATCAGTAAAGAACAACAGCATCTGGGCTGCATTTACAGGAACATAACTATTAAATTAATGGAAGAGATTATCCTCCTTTATTCAGCACTCGTTAGACCACATCTAGATGTTGCTTCCAGTTTTGCTCTCTGCCCCCTAATAAAGCATGAAAGACATGAAAAAAATGGAGTGAGTTCAGTGAAAGGCCACTGGATTGGTCAGGGAACTGAAGGACTTGCCTTTTGAGACTAGGCTGAGGAAGTCTGACTTTATCAGACTGGAGAAGAAAAGGCTTTAGGAAACACAGCAGCCTTCCAGTGGATGAAGAGGTACCTTCCGGTGGATGAAGAGGTATCGAGTAGATGGTGTCAGACTCCTTACACTAGTGTATGTCAGACTCCTTACTCTAGTGTGCAATGAGAGGACAAAAGACAAAGGGCATAAACTGAAACAGGAGAGGTTCCAAAAGGATATGCTATCTATACTTTTTTTTTTTTTTTCCATGACAAGAATCAACCAGTGGAGCAGTTTGTAGCAGAGAAACTGTGTACTCTCCACCCTTGGAGAGTTTCAGCAGTCAAGAGGATAAAGCCCTGAGCAACCTGGTCTGCTCCTGTAGCTGCCCCTGCTTTGAGCAAGGATTTGGATTAGAGATCTATTGAGAACACTTTCAATGCAAATTATCCTATGATCCAATATGATTATATCATATATATGTATGTATGTATGTAATCTTGCCTTACCTTGTGAGTGGAACAAGTTTTTCTAAATCATTTGCAAATTAAAGTAGTAATAGTTATCAACTTAGATCTAGTAGGGAAGTCCGCAGTTTTCAGTACTGTAAGTTGTACATTTAAATAATTTGTGTAACTAAATCTATTTGGATGTGAAAAGGAAAAAAAAAGAAGAAGAAAATTTTCCTTCAAGCTTTCTTCATCAGTAAGTTTTGTTTTTGGAAAAATGTTTTGTTTTTTTAAAAAAAAAACTGGGAAAGGTATGCTTTGACATTTAATTCGTTCAAATTGTTTTTGACTGAAAAGAACCCTAAGTAGGACCTGAGTAACAACAAGTTAATTTTCTCTCTTTTTTTTCTTACTTTATATTTTATTCCTGTAAGATATATTATGAAATTGGATGTTATGAAAATGAGTCTTGAAAGTCCCTCAGTGGTGAACAAGTAGCAATAGATTTTCTTTGCTTGACAGCTTTCCCAAAATGCCACTTAAAAGGTGCAACCTAAGTGAAAGTGAGATGTGCTATGGAAATATCCTGAACTGAAATCTTTAATGCATTTCTGCATGCTTTAAAGGTATATTTATCTTCAAAATAGAATACAACTTTAAAATGGTTTGAGCTGCTACAATGAGCTTCTTCCAAAAAGGGCAATTGATTTAACCAAAAGACCTATTTATCTGGTGAATTCTGGTTGCATTTTCTCCAGAGAGCTGCTTCCCTTACAAGCAGCCCCTTGCCTGCATTCATATAATCAGTCCTCTATAGCTGGAGTGCCCCGTACAATGTCTCTATCAATGGGATTACTTGCTGGAGAAGATCAGAGGTTGAAGTCTATGAATGGTACCATTCAGTCTCAGTCTGTGCCAGACATGGAAGTGAAAATTGACCAGGAAGGAGTTGGATCTAAAGGGTGTTTATCCAGTATCATGTCCATGTAGTGAATTAGTAATTAGAATCAAACTACAGAATGAAGGTTGATTAAATTCACTGGGTAACTGTTTTTCAGATGTTGCAATTATGCCTCAGCATAAAACAAGTAAGTTACCAGTATATCCAGTCTTCAACAAGGACTTAAATACAGACTGAAGCTTCAGTGCTGCCTGATGTGTTCACAGTTTAGAAAACAACACCGTAAAAATTGTACTTTTCTTTTACAATGGCTGTCACGTGTTATTATATGCATTGGTTCATACATAAGTAAGTAAATAACTCCACCAGATACATCAGCCTCATTACAGGTATGGGAAATTGAAATTATTCTTAAGAATTGCATTGCTCTGAATCATTTTGTAGTAATAGAATCCTCACAATAGTTTATTCTTGAGGTATAAATTATGTCTTTAGTCATAGTATCTAGAAAGAAATTATGAGAATGCTAGCGGATCTGTGTTTGTTCTCCTCCATGACAGAGTATTCTGAGAGTGCTCTTATGTTCTTATGTTTTTGTGTGTATAAGTATGCTTGAGAACAAGCATATGGATATTTCCTTTCTTTTTTCTTTAATTCATGAGCCATTAATGAGTGGAATTTTCAATGCAATAATTGGTGCTGATTGTGTCTTAGAGTTTTTAAGCATCTTTCAATGAAGAGTATCCCTTTGTGCATGCCGTTTAAATATCAGTTAGTTAAGTGGTATCTTTATAAATTTATATATCCTTTTATATATCCCTTTATATATCCTGTGCATGAGTCTGAAGAGAGACTGTATGCTAGATAATTTGCAATTTATTCTGTATTTCTTTATATGAAGTTCATATGTTAAAACTTAGATTTCATGAGAGAGATGAAGCACAAGGATGGAAGTGGGGAAGGGAAGGAGGGAAAAGAAGAATACCAAACTGGCAGTGACATTCATAAAGCTGTTCCAAAGGCATACTTGAGCACCATAATCTTTATAGACAATGTTTTTATCACTTAGCTAACATATTAAAATGATGATAATTTCATTAGCAGACAAATCCTAGATTGTTCCAAGAGATGACAAATGTTACAGCAGTACTGGAATTCAGGCTGCTGGGTTTCAGTAGCAGCCCACACTGCCAGATCCTGCTATTCACATTGTTCTTGGTTATTTACATCCTTACAATCATGGGAAACATCATTATTATTTCAGTGGTAACACTGGAGCCACAACTTCATTCACCTATGTACAAATTTCTCAGGAACCTCTCTTTCCTAGAGATCTGTTACACCACTACAATTGTACCCAAGATGCTGGCCAATCTAGTGTCAGAGAAGAAAACCATTTCTTTCTCAGGGTGCATGGTGCAACTTTACTACTTTGTTTTCTTGGGAGCTACTGAGTGCTACCTCTTGGCAGTGATGGCATATGACCGATTCCTTGCAATCTGTGACCCCCTGCAGTATATCACATCAATGACTGTTGAGTTTTATACCTGTCTGACTGTGGCCTCCTGGGTCACTGGTGTTTTCACTGGTTTTCTGCCATGTCTGATGATCTCCAGATTGCATTTCTGCAGTTACAATCTAATTGATCACTTCTTCTGTGATATCCCTCCTCTACTGATGCTCTCCTGCTCAGACACCACTGTCACAAAAGCTGTCATCTTCATCCTTTCTCTCCTGGTCCTTTCCAGTTGCTTTTTGTTGACTCTTGTCTCATACCTATTGATAATTCTTAGCATCCTGAAGATTCCCTCTGCTTCTGGAAGAAGAAAGACCTTTTCCACCTGCAGCTCACACCTTATGGTAGTGACCATATACTATTGTACAATGATTTTCATGTATGTTCGTCCCACCTCCAGCCTTCCCTCACAGCTCAACAAGGGTATATCTGTGCTCTACACAGTGATCACACCGCTTCTCAATCCAGTCATCTACAGCCTGAGGAACAAGGGATTTAAGAACGCCTTGGGAAAAATAGTCACTCGATATCATCGTGTTCATGCTTTGTAAACTGGAGTTACTGCAGCATTGACTCCTATTGATATTCAGGCTCCTTGGTGCATCCTGCCTATAGGACAGAATTCTTACTGCAGGCCTATTGCAATAAGCATGAGTTACAGTAAAAGTTCTTTCTGTTCTAACCAATTTAATTTGGTTGTTTCTATAAATTGAAGTGACTGTTGACATACGCTACATGCTTACTTTTTCCTTCTCTTTCGCGTCTCTTCCTGTCTCTTTGCTGAGAATTTCATTTACTTTTTATTGCTATTGTAATACCTAGCTGAATCGCAAATAAATAAATAAATGTAGACAGGAACAAATACACATTCATTGGTAAATATATTTAAATTATATTAATATATTTTTGATTACATTTTATTGATTTCCTTCCATATAGTTGCTAGCTCATTTTTTCCTCTTGCTTTGCCTGATCAGTTATGGAGAACACATTGATTCAGAATAAGTAATGTGATTCTGGTCTTTTTTTTTTTCTATACATTATTTCAGGCAAGTGAAACAAATTTCTTTGCATAAAGTAAAAAAAAAAGTGTATCTTTTTCATGAGGAAAATGTAACTGAGAAACACGTTTTCATAATTACAACAATTTAACATGAAAAGATAGCAACATGATATAGCTGAAGCCATTCTTGAACCATTTTTTTTCTTTGTGGGAACATTTCAGGTGCTTATCCATGCATACTGTTATATTAGTCAACATAGCATTATCAGGGTTGGCTGCAGGAGATGGTAAGATATGATACAGAACAAATGGAAGACCTGCATCCTTCCAGACCACTTCCTTTATTCCAGTTCATATTGAATGCTCCGTGGACCCAAAAATGACATTAGGTCTCTGTGATTAGGCATCTGAAACCCTCCCTGCAAGTCTACTGACCACAGTGGAAGCTGAAGTACCTGTGTCACATCTAGACAGCTACTTAATAACTCTCATATTTAGAAGTTAAAGTTCTAATATTTCTATGATTCTGTATGACAGTTCTTGTAAAAAGTCTAGTCTGAAATAAACATAGCTACCGTAGCGCTGGTGAAGACAGACATCAGGACAAGCACTTCATTGAGCCCTTACTATTGTCTGCATTCAGAATAACAGCATTGTCTGCATCTAGACCTTCTCATTGACCCTGTCTGAGCCCAAGGGACTTAGAAGCAGAAGTATTACTGTACCAGAAACCGAATAGCAGAGCTATAACCATAAGTGATTTTTTGGGGATGTCTGCCTATTTCACAGTTTAATTAGATCAAGCTTACTTGCTGTCATTCATCCTGAAGTACTGTACTTTATGCCTTTTATTAACAAATCTTTCCTTTTTAAATAAATACATTTGATCCACAGCTTCAGGAAAAGACATTGTTTGAAAATTAAAAATATACAAATCCCTTTAAAAATCCAGTATTTCTTATAAGCTTTAATCCATTCTTTTTTTTTTTTTTTTTTTGCCTGAAGTGATTCTCCAAAACTCATCCATGCTTGGCAAATACTTCCCATACTATTGCAACTATATTTTTCATTTTTTTAAAGGAAACATTTTGCATATAAGATGCATGTTTTCACTCCTAGCATTTTAGTTAGGGGAGTATCCAGTACACTTCTGCCTAATTTCCCATTTATGTAATACATTCAGCTGTCTATTTGCCTGTCTGTTCATCTTTCTCTGCAGCATTGATATTTATCCTACTTAATATTGGTCTGTTGAATTCTTGGATAAAAAGTAATCATGGTGATTCTCTTTATCTCCTGTCCTAATCATCTTTCTGTCTATTTTATTATACCTCTATCTGTCAGTTTGTGCACCTTCTGATAATATGCCCATCTCTAGCAATGTGGCCACAGCCTGTTGTGTTGACACATTTTACTAAAACATGTGAAAGTGTTTAAAAGAAAAGACTTCAAAACATTATAAAAGCTTACCCACTTTTAAATTATTTTATACATGTTTTGGGTTTTGGTAACTAAAAAGATTGATTATCCTGAGTCTGTGTGCAGTTAATTTTGAAAGAAAAGCATAACAGGATATTGAAACTGCCACAAAATTCGTGAAGTAATTTTACTTCACTATCTGAAGAGATGGAGAGAAGGAAAAGTGTACAGGAGACACCTCAGTCCTCAGAGATCAATGAGAGAAATTGTCAGAGACAGTCCACAGGATGTTGGAGCCCAAAGATAATGTTGCCTTTTTTTTTTCCTTGACAGTGTCGGCTCTGATGGAAAATTTGTATTTATCAATTCATTTGAAACATGTTAATTTAACTTCACCAGTTTTAAAAAAATGAGAAGCAGAAGAAACCCTGTTACATCATATGCTCATTAAAGTTGCCAAGTCTAGCAAAACTGCTCTTAAAAGGATACCTTTTTTTTTTTTCCTGCTAGCCACTTCATGATCGTATGGTAAATAAGTAAGCTTATTATAGTTTCCTCACTCAGAGACGACCTTAAGGGAACATTTCACAATGTGAAGGGAATACATAGCAGTGAGCTTCTCTGGAGTTTTAATGAGGCCTGCTAAGGGCTGTTGAGATGGAGCTGTTACTGGAAATCTAATTTACCCTCATGAGGGGTTGATTAGGCTAGAAAATTAGAGGCATGAGGAAATGGACATGAAAACAAAGGAATTAACAGACTTTCTCATCAGTTGTTTCCTTTGATGTGTCTGTCAAATAAGGGCATCAGGTACTAATCCCCAGTTTATCCGAATGCAATGCCTTCAAGTCCTTACCTGTGTGAGGTTCCTGGCTGGTTGGTAGGATGTGTGGGATGCAGAGAGGGGGACACCTCTGCACATCTAGGCTCCTGTAAGGAAGCAGAGGCAGCCCAGCAAAGCTGTCCACATGGACATCTCTTCCTGTTTTCCCAGTTGCCATGGCAGAAATCATTGATGGGTCTGTGAACAGGCCAGAACTCTCTGCTGTGGTGCAGTCTGATGATACCCCCATAACATAACCTTATTCCACCTCTGACACACAACAAGGCTCCCTTGAGCACTGGCTGAACTTGAAAATGGGAGAGCAGCACCTGTGCTGTGCCCGTCGTTCTCAGACTCGCTAGTCTGGGTTACAATAGCCAGGCAAAGGGGATCTCCAGTTCCTGTAGCCCACCAGGGATGGTAGCCATCATAACATGCTTTAACTGCACATACGAAGTGTTCAGTTGTCCATTCCTGACAAAGATTAGCTAGAACTCAGGTCTTGTTATATGCACACTATTCTTGTAATCCACACGCCCACAATCCTATACTCGAAACGTTTCTCAGGTCGATACTAAGTTTTATATCCCATTGTTCATGGTCTTCTTTAATACATCTCTGAACCACTAACCTGTCGTTGCACTTCCATCAAATATCCAATATAAAAATTGCTATCATCCCTTAGTACTAATCATATAGGATCTCCCAGTTGTATTCCTTACAAAAATTGAATTAATCTATTAGCAAAAGCATCTAATCTCTGACTGAATTTCAGTTGGTAACAGTTGATCTTGAGGACAATAAATATCCAGGGATACTGTTAATTTAGTCCCTTAAAAGTCTTATTGTTAATCCAGCATTTGTTATACCACATACCATATTTGACTATCTCAGGTGATTATCATCTTCGCTATATCAGGTACTAATCAATGGTTTGTGTTTGATTTACTTTGCATACAATTCAAAATTCACCCTAGATTACTTAGTTTGGCTTTGTGTGTAGTTCATTTGTGCATTTAGTATCAAATAAATTTAGGATTATTGTTCTTGTATCTATTGATCACTCTACAATTGTGCTGCCAATTTTTGAGCGTATCTGTATGCCTTTGCACAAGTATGGCACAGTGTAGAGGTTTTTAGTAAAGAAGAGGAAGTAAAGACTTAATGTCCTATACAGGTTTTGGTACCACATGGGACAGATGTGGTAAATTTGCCTTAAATTCCCTGATAGTACCTATGTAAAGAAATCTCAACCCTTTCCTTTATTCCTTCCTTCCTTCAACCCTGATTTCATGGGACATAGCAGTGCAGTTCCCCACTGTCAGCACTTGCAGCCCAGAACGTGGCAGAGGACTGGGAACTCACAGTGCAAGGGGTGAGTCTGAACTTGCAAGGAACCTTCTAGGGGCTCTAAGGCCTCCATGGGGAATTTAGGGACCCAGCACACAGCTCCGCTGGGGCAGGGCAGGGACTTGACACATGCCCCCTGCTAGAGTAGTTCAGCGCAGGGTCCCAGTGCATGACTTGCATTGAGGCAAGGGGCAGGGGCAAGGACATCAGGGCAGGGCAAGAACTCTGCAACAGGGCTCCTCCAGAGCACAGAGCTACCATCCTGCTCCCCAGGGAGAGGGGGCTGAGCACATGGCTGCCCTGGTACATGAACCCATTACATGGCTCCTCTGAGTGAGGACCCAGCACACAACTTTGCTGGGGAGGGATCTGGCACACAGCTCCTGCAAGGCATGACGGATCTCAAGTACATGGTTTCTCCATCTTCTGGGTCCCCTGTGGGACTGAGCCTTCCAAGCTAAAGAATCTCCTTACATGGTAAGAGATGAGAAATTATAGCTATAATTTGTAACAAAAACAATGCCAGGTTGCTCTCTGCCCCATCCAACCAAAGATTTGGGGGAAGGACCCAAGTGTCCAAATTAATCTCCTCACCGCATCAAAGAGGAACCTTGGTCCCCAGGAGCAGACCCATGTGCCAAACTCCCTTAAGCTCTCTTAAGGTGAAGCCACATTTTCAGGCTCCCCCAAGGGACACTGGTGGCCCAGTTCATGGGATGCCAGGTGATCACTGGTCTGGGGAGTCTTTCGGGAGTTCCGAAACCATTGCCAGGTGGCCCTGGAGGAAAGAAAGAGACGTCAAGAAAGAGTAGGAGACTCCTGTCTCTCCCATTCATGTGAGGGAACAGGAAGGTGCTTTGGGCTCTCCAAGCAGCCAGAAGGAAACTAGGGGATCTGGAAGCAACTGGTAAGGTCTCAAAAGGGGCTTATGGGGCAACTGGAGGATCTATGGGACA